TACTCAAAGGCATTTTGTTGGTTAAGCAAGAGTTTCTTTAGTTCTATCTTGAATCTTTTACAAGATAAACGATTTAAAGAATCCTGGCAGAGGGTTGTACATGTTATTCACACAATAAGATCTTTTATAAATTTCATAATTGTGCCTTGGTATTGTTAAAGCATGCCAATGCCTAACATTGACATTGTGAACATCAGTTCTGTAGCGTATTTTATTATATAGGTAAGGCGGACTCTGAAACATAATGACTCTATGATACAAGCATAACGAGTGAAGAGATCGAGGATAAGTATTAAAAGAGTCACAATATACTATGGTGATAATTATTTATTTTTTCGTCTAAACCGGTTTCGGGCCCTGCCCTTCATCTGTAGATAGAACCCTACAAACGTACAATACAATCTTTTTAGGTATATGTTGCAGTAAATTAAACAGAATACACTAAACTAAATGAATTGCATAAATAAAAGACAACTTACGTTAGGTTAAAATCGTAAAACAAACATTGAAAAACGATATAAACTTTAATAAACACTCAGTGACAACCACATTGTAGTATGGGCGGTAAAAATTGTTGTAATTGAGGTTAGGAATGTTCACCAAGTTGGTAAAGTAGAATACTACGTGTAATTGATCCGACTTAAAACTAAATTCAATTATTAAAACTAGTTTTTGTGGGAACACAAAAAGTTTTTTGAGTAGTTTTTATTTAAATGTGCAAGTGGATGAGAAAATTGAGCTTGGAGGCGACTCAATTTTGCACCACTTCCACTCCATGCCCTAAATGTCCCCACAAAAACTAGTTTTGTTAAGTTGCTATCACTATTATATTGATTGATTTGTTATATGTTGATTTCCTAAGAGAATTGGAGAGAATAACCGTTTATTGTTTTTTATAATTTACATTACATAATTGAATTTAGTTTTAAGTCGGATCAATTATTGTCGATCTAATTGCACGTAGTATTCTACTTTACCCACTTGGTGAACATTCCTAACCTCAATTACAACAATTTTTACCGCCAATACTATAATGTGGTTGTCGCTGAGTGTTTGTTATAGTTTATATCGTTTTTCAATGATTGTTTTACGATTTTAACCTGACGTAAGTTGTCTTTTATTCATGCAATTCATTTAGTTTAGTGTATTCTGTTTAATTTACTGCAACATATATCTAAAAAAGATTGTACGTTTGTACGGCTCTATCTACTGAGGAAGGGTTTAGACGAAAAAATAACTAATTATCAGCATAGTATATTATGACTCTTTTAATACTTATCATTACATGGTGAAAATGGACACAACCATATACAATTATCATAAGGACCTAAACTATCCAATGCCTGTACTATTAAGCTATGTTACACTTTATGTGGGACAGTGCAGGCACATAGTAGTTTCGTAACTATGGTTGCTGCATTCATATATTGCGAGTTAAATGAATTAGCCGGTATAATAAAATTTTGCAAGGAGAATCCAAACAAACTACCCTGCTCACCAATATAAAAGTAATCCGAAGAGTGGAATGGAACGTATAAAACAAGATGCAAATGATTGACAAAGATAACTGCTCTACATATCAAGAATTCACAAGTTCAGCTGACGACACTGTACTTCGGGTCCCCGAATAGTATACTACTAGGGAATGCTTAAGTGCTCTCTGCGATTTCAGGTCTTATTTCGAACATTTCCGAGAATCCCTAGCCCATTAATCGTCACCGAATCTTGACGGAATCAATGATCCACTTTAGGTGGGATTGATAAACCACATCGTCATTAATAATCGAGTTACTAACCTCATTGCACAATAGTGTTTCTCAACCTAAGTGATAGAAAATATCAAGGGAGCATCTATCTAAGTGGCCGATTTAATGGTGATTGATTCAATAAACAGTGAATCCCCAAGTTTTTCAATGCTCACATTCCATATCGTTGAGATTTCCGCGGCGAAAAGAAGTTTTGTTTTATACCTTCGCCATACAATCGCCAATTATCAATGTGCTTGGTTATGTAACCAAGTATTTTCTAATAATGTAACGAAACCATCGTATTTGAAAATAAAGCATTCCAATACTTATCTAGCTATCAAGGCATGAGTTATAAACAGTCTCCCAGGTGTATGCTCCCAGATGCATCAATGTGGAGAATTTTGCAAAAATATGAAAATTAGAAGAGTGTTTAAAAAAATCGGTTTCCGGAGCATGATACAGAAAAACTTTTAGTACAAAAGTTGTAGCAAATTGTACCCTTAACACAATGGTCTGTAACATTTTTGCTCCCAGATGCATCAATATGGAGAATTTTTCAAAAATATGAAAATTAGAAGAGTGTTCAAAAAAAATCGGTATCCGGAGCATGATACAGAAAAACTTTTACTACAAAAGTTGTAGCAAATTGTACCATTAACACAATGATCGGTAACATTTTTGCTCCCAGATGCATCAATGTGGAGAATTTTTCAAAAATATGAAAATTAGAAGAGTGTTAAAAAAAATCGGCATCCGGAGCATGATACAAAAAAACTTTTACTACAAAAGTTGTAGCAAATTGTACCATTAACACAATGATCGGTAACATTTTTGCTCCCAGTTGCATCAATGTGGAGAATTTTTCAAAAATATGAAAATTAGAAGAGTGTTAAAAAAAATCGGTATCCGGAGTATGATACAGAAAAACTTTTACCCCAAAAGTTGTAGCAAATTATACCATTAACAGAATGCTCGCAGATGTATCAATGTGGAGAATTTTTCAAAAATATGAAAATTAGCAGAGTATTAAAAAAATCGGAGTTATATTTGCTGATTTAATAAGAGCTTACTATTATATAAAAGCTTCAGAATTGAGCATGTACTTATAATATTATAACGTCTTGGCTGCAAGGGACCTTCGCTAAACTTGTATGGAGACACTATAATTTCGTTCAATTAAGCCGAGGTTGGTATCGCGACCTCAGCTAATCTTGTAACGAAAAATTAACGAACTGGTCTGATTAAGCTGAGGTCGCATGCGGTCGAGGAGGTAGAAATTATACGATATCCAAGCAAAAATCGATTAGTAGGTATGTACCATAGCTTCTTGGCAGCAAGCAAACTCGGCTAAACTTATTGTGAAGAATCACTTCGCCCGATGAGAACTAAACATATTCTGATGCCAACATAACCATTTCAGGATTTTCATTCATCACCTCTAACATTATTTCTGCAAAAGTTAATCTTCCTGTAAAATTTTGACGTAATTCTTGAATTACAGCAACTTTGTACATGTGAAAATTCAAGTCCTCGTGAAGAATAAGCCGAACAGTTCTATCGAACATTCCTACAACCTGAACATGATAAACAGCTAAAGTGACGAAATAGTGAGAAGTGTTTTGAGATGAAATCGGCCCACAAAATCGTTATTTCTGAAGAACGTCTTAGGAACAAAGACACGGTGTTCACTGATCCAACGTTCCATTATATCTTAATTTCCACATCAGTGGAAGGGAACGAGTCCGACCCCCATCAACTGAGACCTCTTTAATTTCTCATTCAAGTGTTGTACGCTTGATTCATTTTCCAAGATATCAAATGAACGATACCATCTAATAAAGCTAGTCTAAACTATGAGCTTTTTAGCCTCACCAGAAAGCGACTTCGGCGCTATTAGATGATATCATTCATGTGATGTGAATGATGAATACTAATTTACTCACTTCGCCGATATCGCGCTATATTGTAGCTTTATGTTGACATAATCACATATCCAGCAAGCGATCTTGGCAAAGTGAGAATTAACGATTTCTCATTCAAGTGTTATACGTTTGGTTCACTTTCCAAGACGTCAAATGAACGATATAACACAACATCGCCAGGGTCGCTTGTGGGCTAGGCACTCAAACTGATATATTATGACTATAAACCTGAATTCAATTAGATTTTGCATATTGGGAGATTGAAGAAAACAAATATTTAAATACAATGTGTTAATTAATTATCGTACCCGACGTCATCATTGCAAGTGTGCAACCAATAACGCGATTTGCTTATTGCAATACGAATACTGTGATATTGGTTGCATACTTGCAATGATGACGTCGGGTGCGATAATTAATTAACACACTGTATATTGTTAGATTTTATGGCCTTGATACCACGTTTACTACGTTACAAAGAGATTTAGGAGAAAGTGTTACTCTATGTACGAAACTGCTCAGTTTGATAGAAATTTTGCGGTAAATAAAATATTACTTAATTAAAAATTTAATTAATTAATTAATTCTCACCTTTGTTGTAAATGATATCCAAATATATGCTTTTGCATCTCACTTTTCGAGTTACATTTAAACGCACAATGTGGGCAATCAAAAGTTCTAAAAATCAATAACTGCAATATAAACACAAATATTAATTGTTCAATCTAACCGTGTTAAATGAGAAGAATAAAGGTGATCTTCGTGAATTTGTCTCGATAACGTTTTAAACGGACAAAAGTTACATTGAAATTCCTGTACATCACAATTCCTGAATAAGCACACCTTCATTTGATGGTGTTCTAATCCTTTTTTGTGTTTGTATTCCTTATTGCATACATTGCAAATGTATTTTGTTGTTAAATAACCTGAAAATAAATTCGATTAGTGTTTTTTTAATTCGTTATATTTATGGTAAAAAAATGTTGTGAAAATTAAAATAAAACTCGATCGAAATTTTTATCGTTTATTAAAAGCAAGCATGAATTATTTTCATGTGAGTTTTTAAAGACGATTTGTAATAGAATAATCTGGAACATTCTGGACAAATTTCTTTGGGTTCTTTTCCACACTCGACCTTCATGTGTCTTTGTAAATGTTTTCTGTGCTTATAACTGCGAACGCACCGGTCACAGTAGAATCTTATATTTTCGAGATCTAAAAAAAATTTTTATTAATCAATTTATTTATAGGTTAGGCACGCAAACTTGATTAAAACACTCAACATCTACAATAAATAAATTCTAAGGAAACGATGGCATAAAAAAACACGTAAATATGAAATAATTTTATTAATTATCATTACAGAATGGTTGTATAATTGAGATCGAAAATTTTTAAGGATCATATCACTTTAATATATAATTTAATTTTAAATGATTTAAGTGTATTTAGTAATTTTGTTATAAAATGTAAGTTTATCGCTTTCAAAAGATGTGACTTAAAATGTTATAATAATGATTTATGAACGTGGTAGTTAGTTAACTGATGGTTCAAGAAGTACTAATTGTGAATTAGGAGATGGAGACAGAGGGATATGCAGAAAAACAGCAGGAACAACAGAAGAATGAGAAAGATCACAAAAAGACTATAAAAAGGCAATTCAAGATGGTCACCGAGAAGAAGAATGGGAGAGAGAAGACATAAAGAGAGGTGACCAAAGTAATTTGGAGGCCTACTCAGGTCGGCTGCAACAAGAAGTGGTGCGCTCACGAGCTACTAGAAGCTGAAATTCAATAATAAGGAACTAATATAGTTCTTGACCAAGAACTAAAAAATAAAAGAATGCAAAAACTAAGAAGAGATATTAAGAAACCGAGATAGTAGGTAACCGACATGGTGAGCAAAAGAAGATCACTCACACATAGGTTTTAGCGTGATGATTTAATAGACATCGCCTTTAACTGAGTACCCTGGGGATATGTTAAGAAGGCTCTACAATACATAGAAGTCACAACACCTACAATAAGCTATGTATCTACCTATCGAAGAGAACTACTTTGTTTCTAAAGGGACAAAAGAGTAAGTTGCAGGCTACCACAGAAAAGAAATTGTATATAGAAATAGAAAGAACTGAGTACATACTTTATCAAAAGAATGGCAGGGTGCTTAACAGATATGGCGCTAAAGATGGAAGAATCCAAGACTAAACTGATAATTCAGAAGGGAAGAAGGAAGTTTCACGAGGTTGCCATCAAAGTAGTCAAGTATCTGAGGGTAACTTAACACAATGATCTAAAGATGAAGACGCATATTGAGACCATCTACGAGAAGATGGCCAAAACGCAGAGCGTCATGTACAGGCTGATACCTAGAATCGGTGACCAATCGAATAAGAAAAGAAAAGTACTGACATGTACGATCAGCATCATGGTTCTTTATGATGCCTCCTGTGTAGGAGAATACATTAAAGTATAAAAAGAAGAAATTGCATATAGAAATAGAAAGAATCGAGTACTCCATCAAAATAATGCCAGGGTGCTTAATAGATATGGGGTTAAAGATGAAAGAATTCAAGAATGATAATTCTGAAGGGAAGAAGGACGTTTAACGAGGTTGCCATCAAAGTAGTCAAGTATCTGAGAGCAACTCAACACAATGATCTAAAGATGGAGACGCATTTGAGACCACCTGCGAAAAGACGGCCAAAATGCAGAGCATCATGTCCAGGCTGATATCAAGAATAGGTGACCAATCGAATAAGAAAAGAAAACTACTGACATGTACGATTAGCATCGTGGTTCTTTATGATGCTTCATGCGTAGGAGAATACATTAAAGTATAAAAAAATGCATATAGAAATAGAAAGAATTGAGTACTCCATCAAAATAATGGCAGGGTGCTTAACAGATATGGGGCTAAATTTGGAAGAATCCAAGACTGATAATTCTGAAGGGAAGAAGGAAGTTTAACGAGGTTGCTATCAAAGTAGTTAAGTATCTGAGAGTAACTCAATACAATGATCTAAAGATTAAGATGCATATTGAGCCCATCTACGAGAAGACCGCCAAAACGCAGAGCATCATGTCCAGGCTGATACCCAGAATCGGTGACTAATCGAATAAGAAAAGAAAAGTACTGACATGTACGATCAACATCGTGGTTCTTTATGATGCTTCCTGCGTAGGAGAATACATTAAAGTATAAAAAGAAGAAATTGCATATACAGGGTCCGGCAATGAAAAGGAAAGATTTGAGGTAGGGTTTACAGCGCGCCGAGAAGTGATGGGGAAGAAAGTAGCCGACTTGCCAAGGTGAGCATCGTGGTTACGCAATTAAAGCCTATTTTCAAAATGGTGAGATTTCGTCAAATGGAATCATCGGTCCATATTTTTTTGAGAATGATGCTGAAAATACCGTTACCGTTAATTCTGTACGACACGTTGCAATGATTCAGAATTTTCTCACACCACAACTTGAAGGCTTTCCAGTGAATGAACACACAGTTTTTCAACAAGACGGGGCAACAAGTCACACTGCAAGAATTTCAATGAATGCTGTAAATGCTTTGAAACGGGGATATCAGTTGGCCCCCTCGGTCTCCCGACCTAACCGCCTGCAACTTCTTTCTTGCAGAGTTATGCAAAACTTTCAGGCACGACTCCAAGAATGCATAAATTGTAGCGGAAGACATTATTTTTTTTGATATTGTAAACCAAATGGCTACTCTCTTATTAACGAGGTTGCCATCAAAGTAGTCAAGTATCTGAGGGTAACTCAACACAATGATCTAAAGATGAAGACGCATATTGAGACATTTTCTACGAGAAGATGGCCAAAACGCAGAGCATCATGTCCAGGCTGATATCTAGAATCGGTGATCAATCGAATAAGACAAGTACTAACATGTACGATAATATAATTAATAATGTACGAGAATGCATTAAAGTATAAAAACTAAGTGAACGTGCTTTGTACTATTCAGAGAAAGTATGCGATCGCAATAATATCTGCATACCAGTTGGAGCTCCTTGTAAAGGGAAACAACCATATTCTTCCAACAATAAAATTGAAAGACTAAAGGCAACACAGTTAAAAATAAGAGTTGATGAAGAAATGGCAGGACAGATTGCAGAGACGTATGGGTTGGGCCAGCGTATTGATTAAAGATGCATCGGTGTGGCAAAAAAAAGTACCATCTATAGATAATTACGTGAATCCAGCGATCACAGAGTATGGTTCCTTAGGGGGCTATATGAAAGAAGTAAAAACACTGGAGTCAGGTGTGTGTTGGTTTGAGTGGAGTGTATCAGACCTTTCATTGTACCAGGTTCGAGAAAAACTACAAGCGGAAGTAAAGACAGGAAACGCTATAAACAGGAGATAGAGGAGAGATCTCAATTAACAGATTTATTTGTACATCAGAGCGCCGAAACGCCATATAGTTAGCTCTTTGAAATAGTGTTTTTGGTGAGTACTTAGAGGCAATAACAGTTTTTGTGTAGTAAACACTTCTTTCCATCATGTTTAGTTTTTGAGTTAAAAAATTGTTTGACGTTGAAAATTAATAATATTATAATACCAAGATTTCAGGTTGGTTAAGTTGGCAACTACGAATGATGGATTAGACTCGGTGATGATTAATGGGTTGATTTAGAATGAACTGATAAGAACAGTACGCATACTACGATGATTATGAACATGAAGTATGTACTTCAAAGAGATTGCATCTTAATGGTGATCACCTTGGTGCTCTTGTTGCAGAAGATGCTGCGATTCGTTGGCATTTATTTGACATCAGCCAATTTTTATTGTATCATTGATGAAGTACCAAGCGAGCTTATAAAGTCAGCATTCTTGGGCAGAGGAAACTTGTTATGAGTTACCACAGCTATTAATAACAGTTTTTTTTTTTTGAAAATACTAGAATGGAAGTGAGGAAATATACAGGAAGAAAAGTGTTTCCTTTTGATTTTTAAGATGGATTAGTTACTCTAAAAGTTAAAAAACTTACATTATCATAAAAAATTACTTTAAATAATTATCTTGAAAACCTGATAATCTGACCTGAAAACCTAACATACATACACTGAGAGAAATATATTCTTGAACGATGATTATTACTCTTGACTCAAGCTTATCATATTCTTGTATATTCACAAGAAGATCATTTTGTCTCAAAGCAAGTATACAAATATCATTGATTCTCAAGAAAACGAATTCTTAGTGATGCGTCAAAAATCCCATTTTCTAATCGAAAATAGATTTCTTAAGTCAAGAATGACGTATCTTTCTTTTTAGAAAATCTTATTCATGTAACAACAATCTTGTATAATTCTTCATTTGAGTATTATAAGTTATTGATGTAAGAATGAATTTTTTGATACAAAAAATTGATATTCTCCGATGCTAAGAATATGATATACTTCATTGGATAATATTTCTATTTTTAAAACAACAAAATATTCTTGTTTTAAGAGTATCTTATACTTGTTTTTAAGAATAATTTCCCTCCGTGTAGATACTAATACATTAATAATGACATAGTTATAGTACTTTATGCACGCTGATAATGTGTTGCTTCAAATTTCCTTTTTGTTTAAACGTCTTGGTACAAATAGTACAAACGAACGCTGGAACTTTATTACATTCGTATTTTAAATGTCTGTATAACGAAGCTTTATTTTTATACTTTCTGGCGCATTGTAAGCAGTTGTGATAACATTCATCAGGATCTGAAATAAATTTTAAGTTAGAATAAAAAATTGTGTGAAATAAATCAAATAATATTCAGCACTAACTACTTTTCCTTAAATGGATATCGATAAAATCAAAAAAAGAAAAAAAAATTAGAGAAAAATTTTATTTCAAAACATTATTATAAAAATGAAATTCTTTTTATAAATAATTTCCGTGTCTGGCTCTGACATGTAGTAACAAATCTCTTTTGTAATAACATTTTAACGGGCAATACCAGCAGGCAAAACTCTTTTCTTTACCACATTCAACCCTTAAATGATTGTAAAGCGTTTTCTTGGTTTTATAAAATCTCACTTTGCATCTTGGGCAACGATGTTGTCTTGAATTTCCTACAAAATACATTTAAATAATATTTAAAAAAAAATAATACATCATGCCTAATATATTTTTTTTAACAAAATTCAAAGAAATAAATAAAAAGTTAACACAAAAGAACTAAACAAAACAAGTAATATCTAGAATGGTACAAAGAAATTAACGACACAAAAGAAATGTTGGCTACAAAAATTTGTTATTCTACAAGATTTATCACAAAACTTTTAAAAAATGTTTATTTCTTTTATTTATATTATAATAAAAAATTTCAAATTAAATAAAAATGTTAAATAATTAACAAAGTCCGTGAATATCATGGGAATGTCTTTGCAAAGCATCACTTCTTGAAAAAACTTTTTGGCAAATTAAACATTGGTGTAAACATTTCGTTTCGGAGTGTTTAACTTTTCGATGTCTCGTTAAATTACTTGCGGTGGTAAACATTTTCTGGCATAAATTACAGATGTATTTTGCACCTAAAAAATTAAAATTAGAAATCTCAACTAAATTTAATTGAATCATTAAATAAAATTAAATTCACGAAAAAATTTTATTTATTCGTCAAAATCTTAATTAATAACATTATGCTTTAACATCAAATGGGTTTTAAGTTCAAACGGTCTGCTACTCCTAAATTTATTACAAATTGGACATTTCACTTTAATTTTTCCACAGTCGTTAAATCGGTGCGCTTTTAAACTGTTATTATTTTTATACACTTTTCCACATTTCCGGCATACAACTCCTGAAAAAATCATAAAATTAGTAACAATACTCGCAAATATTTCAAATAAATACCTAATTTGATGATTCAATGTGTTAATTATATGCAAAATTGATTTTGTAACAATTTATTATACAACACAAAAATTTTAAAAAATTGAAACAATTTTGTGTAAAGTACATTTAAAATTATTAAAGAACTTAATTAGTATAAAATAATAATTAAAGTGAAAGGCAATAAAGCGATAATAAAAAAAGCTTTTTAAAATTAAATGGGAGATACAGGGTGTCACAAAAGTTTATCAACTTATCACAGCTAATTTTAAAAACTTAATATATGAGTTGAAACTTATTTTTATCTATGAATTGAATAAACGTTTAACTGATATCTAACTACACACATGGTGCATTACAGATAATTTACTTTTAAAAGATGTAAAATTATTTCGCAACGAGGTGAGGATAAGAGTAGAAGAGAAGATCAGCTCATTGTAGATGCGGATGATCTGGTAATAATGGTGAAGAGTGAAGGCGGATAGCAGCGAGCAATGATTGGAACATTGCAGAAGATAAGATAGAAACGGTTCACCTCCAAGATAGAACTAGGTTGAACAATTTGGTTTTATCCATTCACGGTGATATTATAGAAAGTGTACATATTTATTGGCGTATACTGTCATGGTAAACATATTTAGAAAAATTATGCCATAGGTGAGGGTAAAGTGGAGAGTTTTTAAGAAAAAGCTTATTACATATTAAAATGGCCATACTTGTAGTTTTTTATGTTGCATTAACGTGTAAAAAATCATTTTGTATGGTATTGCTTAGACCAGTTAATGGAAAGTTGCTTCTGTTTATCATACTGTATCCACAGTTGATTGTCTCCATTCAATTTAGTGGAAGCCAAAGGGGTCTTGAGTATGAGAGAAATTTTATCTTCTAAGTTTTGGAACTTAGAAGTCTAGCCATAAAAAGGTGGCAAAGGAGATGATTGAGAGATGATTTACAGCGATGATTCCGAATATCTGAACAAGGCAGAAAGTTATGAACAACCGATTTCTAGCTATCTCAAACGCTGACAAACTTCAGCAGTTGCTTGCTAGATTAACAGACAATTAATGATTTTATGGAAAAAGAAATATCACGAAGAATACTTTATTTGCCAGGCCGGTGAAAAAGATGGTGGAATTGATTTTGGATAGCGAAAGGTGATGGAAGATAATGACAGAACTCTTTATCACTGTAAGAAAAGACAAGGAAAGGGATGAATGGGATTTGCAGAAACCCCATTCACGTCAAAATGTAAATAAAGATAGATGTAATATGGAAGAGTCAAGTCAGCCTTGGAAAAAAGAAGTTCACTTGTCAAGGTTGGGTTGAGTTTGGTTGGTTTGAGTTGGGGTAGATTCGCCTCAAGGCACTCTACTACTCCGTAAAGGGAAAGTCCACAATACACGTTAGAGGCGGTAATAAGCACATCTAAAGAACCACAAAAGTTGCATAACAACGTAACTGATTAATATTATTAATGACGAAAAGAAATATAAGATCACGAGGAATGTTCTACAAGGCTCGGTGCTGGAGCCGCTGCTTTGGAACATATATTTTAAGCGTCATGTGATCATCTTATGATCTTATCGTCTTATGATCACATAACGCAGAAGATTTAATCATAATTAAGAGAGCTAGGAATAAGAAGGAGAGCTGAGAAAATTTACAGAGCGCACCTTGAAACCCATCACTGATATGATGGAAGAAATAGGGTTGGAAATAGGACATGAAAGGACTTAAGCCATTATGATGAAAAGTAGAAATATGAAAAATTGTGGGTTATAAATAATAATCAAGTAATCCTTTAAATATCTTGAGGTTGACCACATTAAATATCTAACAGACAAAACAGACTAGACTATAAGATCGCTGCAAAGGCTAATGAGATTAACATATGAATCAGGCTGTGGAAAAAGGAATATGGAGAGAGGCTTTAATATTAATAAACACGTGGTTAAGCTGACAAGAGTACAAAGCGGCGGGTTGATCTGAATCACAAGGGTCTATAGAACAACGTCAAACAAGGCGCTACAGTTGCTAGGAGACATGCCATCCATAAATCTTTATAACACAAGAAGAATAAGGAAAGATTGAAGAAGAGAATAACAAATCAGGAAATGGCGTGTTGGACCAAAAAGTTCCGAGTTTGTTGGAGGGCATGAATGTTTTAGAGCATATTTGATAAGTATAAAAGAGTAAATGCCGAGAAATGTGTGTACTGCGGAGAGAGGGATGACATGGATCACACTTTCTTCGAGTGCAATAGATGAGACAAAGAGGGTTGCAGCATGAATAGTAATATGGGATGCATAATGACAGACATCAGAGAGGGAAGAAAAGACATTCTCTTCACAAAGGATCTACGCCAGACCTCCCTGGCCTAGAATAATGGAAGAGAGAAAATAGGAAGACCAAGTCGGGGTAACGTGTATTGGTGAAATAACGTGATTAAGAAAGTTAAAGAGGAAAAGCTTCAAGGCCAGATAAGGTCACGACATAGATAATTAAAGACATGATCAGTGTAGAGGTGGCAAAAACGATTTCATAAAAAACAGCGCATTCCCAAGCATCCGGAAAAACGGTTGACTTGTGTTAATAGAAAAATAAATAGCGATCTCTATGTTTCCTAAATATCTACAGCAAATTTAAGAACAGAATCGAGGAAGAGCTGCAAAATAAAAAAGGAATGACAAATTTCCAATACGAATTTACTTAGGCAAATTGAATAGCGTCTATTCAATCGAGGATGTGGCCAAACGTCTGCAAAAGTACAGATGAGGCAGGAAAAAGTGCCTCTTCATTACGGTTGACATAAAAAATGAGAATTTCGAACATCGTGCGATTCATAGGTTTCGAATTAAGAGAGGTGTCTCACATTAATTTATTCTGGTGCCACTTTTGTGGAACGTTTTTTTTGATCATTTGTTTGAAGAGGGAAAATGAGAGAAGATTAGCGACTGGGATGGTTAAATGGTCTGGGATCGTTACCATTTAACGTGTAATTGCATCTATTTATCATATAATATCCATGGTTAATTGTCTCTATTCAATTTAGTGAAAGCCAGGAGTCTTGTGTACGAGAGAAATCTTATCTTCTAAGTTATGGAACTTAGAGGTTTAACTATAAAAAGGTGGCAAAGGAGATCTGAGATGATCTACAGCGATGATTTCGAATATCCGAACAAGGCAGAAAGTTATGCAAAACGGACTTCTATCTGTCTCAAACTCTGAAAGATCATAATGTGTTCATCAGTTACTTGCCAGATCTTGGAAGGGTTAATAGAATTGTTGATTTTGTGGAGAAAGAGATATCTAAAGCATACTTTATTTACCAGCCAGTTGAAAAAAATAGATAGCCCACACTCCTTGTGGAGTGATTATCAACAACGAAATTCGGTGGAATTGATTTTGGATAGCAAAACGTGGTGGAAGATAATGACAGAACTTTTTACCACCGTAAGAAAAGACAAAGAAAGGGATTTGGAGACACCACCGCATTCACTTCAAAATGTAAATAAAGATAGATGTGATATGGAAGAATCAAGCAAGGCTTAGAAGAATGAAGGGTACTTGTTAAGGTTGGGTTGAGTTTGGTTGGCTTGGGTTGGGATAGGTTCCCCTCAGGGCACCGTACGGCTTCGTAAAGGGAAAGTCCACAAGGCTCCGTTATTGAGGAGGTAATAAGGATAGATAAAGAAACAGAAAAGTTGCATAACAATGTAACTAATTAATGTTATTAAGAGTTATATATGAGACTATTCCATGGCTGGAATAGACGCTATCGAGGATGTGCTGGGAAAGGCCAAACATCTGCAAAAGTACAGATGAGGCAGGAAAAAAGTGCCTCTTCGAAACATCGTGCGATTATAGGTGTCGAATTAGGAGA